CAAGCGAGCGCACGGAGCGACGCAATGCACTCGTCGCGATGGATCTAGCGCGCTACAACATCGATATTGCGGCGCTCAGTGAAACTCGGCTCGCTGAGCAAGGTAAGTTGCATGAAGCAGGTGCTGGCTACAAATTCTACTGGGTGGACAACACCGTCTCAGCATCACGGGAACATGGGGTCGGATTTGCAAAATTCGATCGCCTCCATGGCCAGCTGGTGGGGGAAGCAACAAGCATCAGTGCACGACTGATGACTGTTCGCCTACGACTCGGAAGAGGTAAGTTCGTCACTTTTATAGGCACGTAGGGTCCCGGCGTGTGTTATCCTGATGATACGTGTGATCAATTCTACACTCAGCTATCCTCCGTGATACAGTCTTTGCCGAGGAGCAACCGACTATTTCTGCTGGGTGATTTCAACGCGCGTTGGGCGTGACGCATCAGTGTGGACAGATGTTATCGGTTCGCATAGCATTGGTTCAGCGATTGCGAACGGTGACAGGCTGCTCTCACTGTGTGCTACTCACCGCTTGACAATCACGAACACGCGATTTTCACTGAGTGCGACTGATATAGTAACTTGGACGCACCCACGGAGTGGTCACGCTCACCTGCTCGACATTGTCATCGTACGTCAGCGTGATATGCATAAAGTCCGCATGACACGTGTACTGCATGGAGCTGAATGTGGCACTGACCACAGATTCGTTCGTACCAAACTGTACATATATTTTCGTAAATCTATGTAGTGCACTCCCGCCATGAAACGCAGTAAATTTAACCTTATTTTCCTCGGTACTATGGCGAAACGTATTGAGCTGGAGAAGGTGATGGCTGCAAGCCTGTGTGATGTGGATCGCATAACCGCAGGGAGCGACCTGTGGCACCACATTCGCGACCAGGTGACAGCTGCTGCCGAGGAGACCATCGGGCGCGCAAACTCTAAGCGACCTGATTGGTTTGATGAGAACAATACGACGATGGGTGAATTGGTGTGTGAGAAGAATGCATCATTTGCTGCATATGTCGCAGACCCCCGTGATTTGGGAAAGAGTAGTCAGTTCCGCAAACTTCCACGGTGACTGACCCGAGGGACCCGTCACATAAAAAATGAATGGTGGACGGAGAAGGCGAAACAGATACGCCGAACGCCACCAACGAAAGGAATTCTTTGACACCCTTAGGGCAGTGTATTGAATGAGATTGGAGCCGCTGAGGACGCTGATCGATGGTAGTTCAGGCGCTACCTGCACACAGACTGCAGATATACTACAGATCTGGCGAAAACACTTTGATTGTTTCTTGAACAACCGTTCAGATAGCGACTGGCCTACATTGAACGGCCTCAGGCAGCACGATGTGAGGACGAGTCTGGCGGACACGTCGATACTAGATAAGACGCAGAGAGCACTTGCTCAGCTGTGAAACTGCAAGTGTACCGGGGCCGACGGGATCCTGCCTAATATACTGAAACACGACGGACTCGCGTTGTCGACTGCGCTGCACCACTTGGTGCAACGCGTTTGGATTGAGGAGGAGGTGCCTCCTGGGCTGAAGGATACCCTTGTGCTATCACTGTACAAGGGCAAAGGGAGCAAGCAATGTTGCACGAATTATCGTGGTATCAACTTGCTGAGTTGTGTGGGCAAGGTAATTGCCCGAGTCCCGCTCAACTGCGTCGTCAGTCAGGTTGTGGAACCGAACGTGGCGGAAGAGTAGTGTGGATTCCGGGTCGCAGCACTATAGATATGGTGTTTACGGCTGGTCAATTGCAGGAGATGTGCACAGAACGACACCAGACATTGTACTCGGTTTGGCTGATTTTACCAAGGAATTTGATGCCGTGAACCGCGAGGCATTGTGGCTGGTGTTGGGTAAGTTTGGTTGTCCGCGTAACTTTGTAAGTTTACAGAAGAGTAGTAGGGGGAGTTGAATGGTATAGGTAGAATTTCGTCACATCTAGGCTCACTCAGACAGCCGCCACAAGCCCGGAAAAGCACTGTACGCGCGTTTCATCCTTTCGAAAAATCATCAGCAGTGCGCATTCCATCGGACCCTTGGTAGGGCTCGAAACCGCAACTCGACTGTTGACAGTCCGTGGTTGAGACCACTGAGCTACGGGGGACGGCAACGACCATCGTGAATAAATTACTAGATGTGATATAGCGCCGCTCACTATCCACTGACTTGCACGTTACTGCCGTGCAGAGGACAGGGTAGCCCCCTCACCAAGCGACGAGCTTAACAAACTTAAGCCGCCAATTATCTTATGGCATTATAAGCAGTTTGTTCTGTGTACTGATTACAGAAGAGTAGTAGGGGGAGTTGAATGGTATAGGTAGAATTTCGTCACATCTAGGCTCACTCAGACAGCCACCACAAGCCCGGAAATGTAAGTTTATTTGAATGCCTGCACAGTAGTGTGTGAGCGAGGGTGCAGCTGAGTGGAGAGACCTCGGATGACTTTGCAGTTGTCTCTGTTGTGAAGCAAGACTGTGTTTTAGCTCCTGCCCTGTTTAATGAAAATTTTCAGGCAATGCTGTTTTGTGCTTTCGATACCGCTTGTGCTTACGGTGTTCGTGTGGAGCACCGTATTGATGGTGGGTTGCTGAACATCCGCCGTTTCGGTGTGGGAACTCTAGTCATTGAGACAACTATCCGTATCTTTCTGTTTGGTGACGACTTTGCGTTATTTGCACATAGTGCGGATGAGTTGCAGCACATGATTAATGCTCTGCCTTCGGCAGCGGCCAAATTCGGGCTCACCATCAACACAAGCAAAACTGTCTGTCACTTTCAGCCTTCACCGGAGGTGCAATCCTCAATATTGCCGCGAATCAGCATTGGTGCTGATATAATGGAAACCACCACCCGCTTCTGCTACCTTAGGCGTGTGATGTCGACTGATCAGCAGCTACGCGTTGAGTTGCGTATTCGCGTGTCGAAGGCATCGGCGGCATCGGAGACGCTTGAGTACCGAGTGTGGAACAACCATCAGCTTAGCATTGGCACGAAGCTGATGGTGTAGAAAGCCATGGTGCTGTCCGTTATTCTATACGACAGTGAAACATGGACGAAATACCGTCGGAGTGTGCGATATCTCGAGCGGTTCCATAAGCAGTGTTTGCGACGGATTTTGCGCATCGGTTGGGGATACAGCGTTACAGACACGGAAGTGTTGCCTCGAAGTGGAATATATGTAGTGGACTGCATACTCTTGCTTAGAAATCTGAGGTAGATCGGCCATGTGAGCCGTATGGATTCGACGCGGATACCGAAACAACTTTTATACGGTCAGCTAAGTATTTGGAAGCGGCATGTGGGGAAACCAAATTTACCTTACTAGCACATGATCAAACTGAGCCACTCACCTAATCTTGATTGCGGGTCATGGGAATCGAAGGCGGTTGATCGACGTGTATGGCGCGATTTCATCACGAAGACAGTTGCCGAAATGTGGGAGAAAGACCTCACACATGCAGAGAAGAAGCGGCAAGTGCGGAAGCGGCAATCACCGATGGGTTGTACTCCATCGACATCAAGCGCATGGTGTTGTAGCACATGCGGCCGCGAGTGCCTGAGTCAGGCAGGCTTAGTGAGCCATGAGCGAGGCCACTCGGGACCACTACCGAAGCAACGACGGGTCCTGCAGAGAAAGTAGGCAGAACCAGCGCAGCATTTGTAGGTACGCTGCATTCGATTTACTAACCGCTTGCTTACATGCTAAGTCTCTTTATTTCAGATGGTGACTTTTCTTTCTCATATTAATGTCTACCAGTACTGTCTTCTGTAAACTTGCACACGTCACTTAAGCCAATTGCGGTTAATTTCGATAATATTTTCTTGTTTGTGGCATTTCCGTAATATATACTTTCTGACCTAATGAACTTATCTCGGGTTCGTTTGTAAACAACTTATTTCATATGCTCATTAATTTAAAATTTTTGTCACGTTTCCTTATGCATTACTCGATTTATTTTATTTGTTATCTTTCACTCAAGTGATTATCTGTTGCTTGATATCCCCGGTGTGGCTGCGCTTGATGTGTATATTGACAAGGTGCCTACCTGTCTATTACCCACTACTTCGTCCATACTGGCTGTAAGATACAGTTGATCGTTGCTGAAGGGGATGGGGTACACGGTCCTTGTGGCCGTGTTAGGATCAAAAGTGGTTTCATGCAATCAGTGTGGAGCGGACTACGGTCCAGCCACCACCTTGTGTGCGATTGATTCCCCAAATGCAGTGTGCATGTGTTTGCCTGTGAAGGAGTGTGGGCCGGCTTCGTTGATGAAACGTGGCTCCTATCCACATGCCTCCTGGTCTTATTCCTTCGGGTTTGCACTGGATATGGGGTGTATGGTTGGAGCTGTGGGTGGTGCAGCGCAAGCCATCCATGGTCTCTCTGTAGGCTCAGGCGTCCTGTGGCTGACCACAGTGACAGGCAACTCCGAAACCGGATGCCGCCAACCATGATAGAATGGATTAGTGACACATCCATATGCTTCCCTTACATGTGACTGATCGAAGAGCCCATTTTGTCGGTCAAAATGCCCACAAACACGTTTTCCCACGTGTGCATATGGGGCTTATCCAGGGATAATGAAGCTTTGTGGGAATGCATCTGCCAGTGTAGTGCGGCCCACACAAACGCCGTCGGCCTTCAAGCGAACTAGCAGTCTTCCACTTTCTGTCGCGATACCCTTGGTGTGTATAACCCGGTGAACTAGTACTGTTCAGTCACCGTGTTGCGTTTTCTCCGATTAGTAATACTTGTATGGGCTACTTGAATGGTAGTGTCCTATCAACTATTGACCGTGATATCCCCAAGGAATTCCACAGGTCATGTCAGCACAAGGTTTTACGTATATCAACGGCGTTCGGCCATCGCGTGCACACGCGCATCATGTGACTGCACAACCGGTCCTTCACTCATTGGCTGGGCGAAGGGAAATGCAAAGGCCAATCGGTGACAAGGTCGAAATGAAGGCTAACACAACGGCGTTAAATGGCACTCGCTCGTTCTGTTGACACACCATGAGTGAACAGGCAGGGAGTAGCGATCGTAATGAGCGGGTGATCCTTATTCCAATTGATGGCAGCCCTCATTGTGACCGGGCTTTTGTATGGTATTTGGAACATATGAAGCGAGCCAATGATTGCGTCCGATTCGTCAACGTCATCGAACCCGTCTACGCCAGTCCAGCCTTTGGCGTAGCTGTGGATTCCCCACCGCTGCCCGATTTTAGTCGACTGATGATGGACAGCATCGATTCGGGCAAAAACCTATGCCGTCAATATGTACAGAGAGCAAAGGACTCCGGCTTGACCGCACAAGCATTCATACATGTGGATAGCAGGCCGGGTTCTGCAATTGTAAAAGCGATAAAGAGCCATGCACCGGATATAGTAGTCATGGGAAACCGTGGTCTCGGAGCGATTCGTCGCACTTTTCTCGGCAGCGTCAGCGATTATGTGTTACACCACGCTGCAGCTCCTGTTGTCATTGTACCACCCGGTCGATCAGATTCAAAATGACAGATTAAGTTTTGTGGATGTACTGTGACCAACTTTTAAACACTTTCACTGTATTTGCTAGATAGTAAGTTTGTTTAATTTTTTCATAAAAATCGCTTCAAGCCTGCTTCTTCGTATTATAATTAGCCCCGGTTTTTTATGTGGATTCCAAGGGGCGCCAAGTAAACCATTGCGTCATAGCGCGTGCCTTATTTCCGGATGCACAGTTGTAATTGTGATTTCACTTTAACCAAACTTTAGAAAGGCTGTTTTGTTAACTTTGAGGTGACTAGCCTAGTAGTTTTGAGATATAAATACGTACCTTTTCGACATGTGTGCACGCAACACATGTTGCTGAAGAAAATCTCATTTCTGAGACTCTTCTTGGTCCCCTTTGTTGCTTTTCAGGGTTAAAGTCTGTTTGAACTCACTGCAATGCATCACAATGTCTTAACTGCGCTCTAAGTTCGGTAGATGACAGGAAGGTGTGCTTTGGTGAGGATTTGAATTCACTCAGTCAAGAGGACTTACTTGTGTGTCTTACAAGGTTCATTAGAACGACGGCCCAGACTATTCCACTCGCAATGACAAAACGCAGCAACGGAAATTTCGTCTACCATTACTTGCCCCTTGTTCGCTTTTCTGGTGGGGATATGTCATGTGCTACAGGCGATCCAACAGCTTGAGACAAATCCACAAATGACCTCCATTGCCACAGGCACTGCGTAGGTGAATCAGTCCATCCTCTTTTCCCTGTTCCTGCTCCCATTCCCACTTGGCAACCTAGACGACAGCTTCACCTCGGTTACATTGTTTATCCATTCAGCTCGCTGTGAGTGAGATATCATTTCACTGTCTGGTTTCCAATGAAGCTTTCACTGACAGCCGAAACGAAGGAAGTTCCCATCGTTTTGTTCACCATACCGATGCCGTTAATGGGAAAAAGCAACCTGGCTATTTGTAACGACGCTCACCAGTGCATTCCACACCATAGTTTCTGTCACCAAGCCGTAACTGCGCGTAAAGTAGCTGAAATGACGCGCACATTTGTGGGCAATCATAGCGCCAAAAACAAATGCAATACCGTTGCGACACGGAGTTCCCATATGGACGAAAATGTGGGTGAATTGCCGAATCCTCAACTCCCTTTCTGGCGGCCTCCTCCATACATAAACATCTAGAGGTCGGTACTGAGCTCGACCCGGTGTTCTAACTTGGACTGCATTGTCGCTCAAGTCTTCGTTTCTTTTGTTTCACTGAGGTTGTCACTGTATGTCCAAAAATCATTTGTCAGACAAGAAAGGTCATTCTGAGGCATTCGTTGTATGAATAGATTGGGACTGACGTTGAAGTTAACCTTGTTCATCGCGATCACTGAGTTGATGGAGCAGGTAGATATTGGTTATGGGCCGCCAGAAAGCTGTCGTCAGTTGCCAGCCTTGGACTGTTATAGAACAATGAGCTGAAATTCCGTTATTCAGTCTGTACCTGAAGGTATTTGGTCGCTTTGTCTGTTGTACGTGTTCATTTTTGTCCATTGTAATGGGGAGATGTATGCACCTCCCAGCATTCGCACACTAAGCGAAAAATTGAAGCCTCTTCCATCGTTTCAACCGGGCGTACGCTATTCACGATTCAATCGTTACTCCACCGACTGGCGAACCTTGAGTATGCGGACTACAAGACACAGTGGTTACGCAAACACTACTGAATAGACAGATGGATAGCAGTGTACGCCACGGCAAGTGCTTCGCACTTTCCAAGTGCAAGTATTGTTGCAGCACCTGACCATTTCGCCACCAGTTTTAGTTATCACCGAACAGCCACTGGCTGAATCAGTTCACTTATCTCGGTAGGCGTGTCACCTCTATGGCCACATCACTGAGGAAGTTACTTCGCGTATCAGCAAGGCCCGTGTAACTTTCCAGAGGCTCAACTATCTATGGAGGCGGTGGGATATCAGGCTCTCAGTGAATGGTAGGGTGTACAATGCTGGTGTTACTGTATGGATCGGAGAACTTGTCAGTTCGCACCAAAGACATTAAACTCTTAGCAGTGTTTGAACACCGGTATTTGCGGAGTATTGCTCACGTCTGTAGGGAACACCGGATGAGTAATCCCGAGGTCCGCCAGTTAGTTTTTGGCAGAAAGCATTCTAATGACTCAATGAAATGTTTTCTGAATTGTAATCGCTCACATTCGTTAGGTCATGTTCTCCATAGGCCGGTCGACCGGCTTTTTCGGCGAATATTATACACTGTGGCTGCACCAAGTTGGACGAAACTGCGAGGAGGCAAGTCCATGACGTGGCATAAAGGCATGAAGGAATCGACGGGGAGATCTAGTCAGCCTGGTGTGTGCCTTCTTCGTGGATGTGAATTCCGCCATGGTCCACAACAGTGATTGGAGACCCTATCAGACATGATACAATCACGGTTTTATGCTTCTAGCTGTTAATTTCCTACCTCGATTAATTAAGCGCTTCTCTGTCCTGACTCCATTTCCTTACTATTCACTTTACTTTCAACCGCTTTTTCTCACCGTTCCTATTTATCGTAATTCTGACTAGGTGAGTCTTGGCAACTAGATCCACTGCACTTCGGTGCCCGGATCAGAAGTTCAAATGAACTGAACTGAAGTTGCTACAACATGCGTGGACTATATAGTGTCGGATGAACTCCGATCGCCCAATCCAGGTTAACCTGCTGGAATATCCCCTACGCTGTTTGCAGTGATTTTGAAGCGGAAGCTCTCACTCATTTCACAGTTGTTGTCAATTTACAATTGGTTTCTGGCCACACTTCCATGTCTAGTCAATATGTTTAGTTGATCCGATGACACATTACTCATGTGGGGATTTTGGTCGCAATCAACCGAAACTTTTATGCTATTCGCAGATGTACTGTTTTTTTCGCTAGGTTAGCTGTCTCCTGTCAGCTTTGCTGGCCTGTCTTCGACCAGCTTAGCAAGAATGCTGTTACAACAACCAGTACAGGAACGTGCGCCAACGACATTGTTCATCGACGCGAGTATCCGGTGACCAGATTGATGCAAACTCCACTGCGAGGTCGGCCCCAACACTGGACTTAGTACAATCTAACCCTTCGATTCCATGTGGGTCAGTCACTGTGTATGTACCTGGTTTTGTAATCAACGTTCCGTTGTTTCTACAGAATTGTGCGTTGCTTATGTGAAATAATTGACTCACTAGTGTGCACCACCAGCTCCTCTCTTGCGGACCTTTACCTTAAACCACAAGTCGTTCCAGTGTGAACTGACGTGACCTATTTACTCTGTCTCCGTTGACACATATGCCATGATTTTCCAGACATTTTTGATTTGTTCTACACCACGGGGACGTTGGTTGACCTTCACCTCACATGCCTTTTTTGACTACACCCTTCCGTAGTCCCCTGCTTCATGTCGATGCACTGGAATTAACTAGCACCCGTTTCGTCCCTACGATGATTAACCGTCCATTATCTTTATGCTAATCGATGTGAAATAGTTTTGATAATTTGCCACGTCGTCGTTTTAAACTGGATCTGCCGCGGCAAAAAGTGCATGTTTAACCAATTTCTTGAATGAGAACACGAAAGGAAGGTGTGTGTGTGTGTGTGTGGAAGAGAACAACGCATGCCAGTGAACTTACCGACGTACACACTGACTACGTTATGATGTCCCGAGAACTTGTTACTTCTTGTGATGTAGGTGGAGAAGTGCACCTTCATTTAATGTGTTAAATTCGAATAACGTAGGAGCGGACTATCAGATCGGGGCCGTGTTTCACAACTACTACACACTTGAAAGAAACGAAGTTCTAGCAACATTCCCAATGACTATACTGTGTGACAAATTCAACTGGTGGCCTCTCACCGAAATGTTGTAGCCGAGTTTCAATAAATGACAGTATGCATATTTGGGGTCTTTGCGGATCTGATAAACCATTATGAGATTATCACACACAGTACATGCTAACAACATGAAAATGTCTTCTGTTATTAATCAGGCGCGGCTTGGGAGCTCTGATCATGCTATCGTAAAGTTAGCTCCCATTATCTATAGCAAGATGAATTGTAAATGTCCCACTCGTTCCAAACATCGGAACTTCAGGCGGATACAGCGCCTTCTCAAGGACATTCAGAGAATGCGTGAAACCATCTCTTCCAGATTGTAGCTTATTTATGATGCGGATGTAGCTAACTATAGTGATCAGTTAACTGTTTACTTGAATTTTTACTTTGACACCTGAATCAATTTTCATTCTTGCTGATAGATTCTCGTCTCAACATCTCAAACGACTGCTTAAACCCCAAGAAAAGGCTTTTTAAAGGCAATGACATCATTAAAGTCGCTGTCATTTCATATAAAATTCGCATTGCGTCGCCACAGCCACATCTGCGTTCAAACCGCATTTAGAAACAACAATTATCGAGAAAGATGAAACATGCTGACGCAGTTAAGTGGCGTCACTTGTGAGGTCACGGATTCAATTCCAGCTTTGGAAAAACAACCTCAATTTTCGTAACCAGGAAACAACTCATTCTTTGATATATCCTCCGCTGAGTTACAGATAACCTCAGATAACACCCCCCCCTTCTGTGGACAGACCATAATTATACAGGGAATTAATTTGGCTGCAGGTGTACAAAGCCCATGGTCCGGATAACTTCTCCTGTCATCCTCAAGGGTTGTGCAAATCACCTGGCGCAGCCTCTCGCCGACTTGTACGCACTGTGCTTGAAGTAGCACAAGATAGCAGGCAGTTGATGAAGTGCAAGCCTTACGCCAGTGCCAAAGAAATGAAACTGCAGATATCGGCCAATTGGGCTGCACATCGGTTGCTCTGAAGATCTCTAAGAGACTTCTTTTTAAAAGAATCTCGGCCCAGACGCATTTAGATGACCCTCATCAGTTTGCACATCGCAGCTCAAGTTTTACTTTAGATGCAGCAGCATAAGTTGTACACACTGTGCTCTCGTCATTAGATAATAAAAGCAAATCCGTCCTGGAATTTAGCAATGCTTGAACTATGCTGCACGATATATGAGGTTCTATTGTTCGAACTTCTCTTGAAAGATTATTTCACCAGGCGTACATCGTTAACTAGGTTAACAGGAAAAACTTCTTCAGGGAGCTAGTTTGTCCCCGTCCTTATTTTCGACATGTTAC